CACATGGTTGTCTCCAATGAGCTTCACTTCTCTCCCCTCTTACTCACCGTCAGACATGTGACCATCAAAGCGTTTATTATTTGCTGTGTCTTCTTTTAGCCTTCTTGGCTAGCTTGTTTTCTCGTATCATATTCGGCTCTAAAGTAGCCTGTAACCTGCCAACGGAACTTAGCGGACACTATCGCTACGCTCTTTTGCATAGCTTTTGATGCCCGAATCTAGAACAAACACTATTTCAAGTAGATACTTCGGCAGATAGGATTTCTTCATTGATTCACGGTTGCTTTACCCTTGAGAAATTTGATCTTGTATTCCATCAGGACACAAAATCTTTGCTTGGAGAACGGGAGCAAATGAAGAAGCCAAGTTACCAACATGCGGACACATGGATTCCTTATCTGACTGTGCGGTACCAACTCCACAATCACATTCTTTTATTCCATAATGAAATGCCAAGGAAGTTCAGTAACCCGTGACATACTTCTACCAAATTACTAGAAAGACTATCTAAACTAGCGTTATCTCGCTTTCTCCAGAACATTGCAAGTCCCCGTAGCGTACACTAAGATAGTACATCCCAGCACCAAGTAGACAACTCACAACCCGCTCTTTCTTGTGATGAACACAATTCCCTCAAACTATCCACCAACTCCACCTACTGCATTCCCGTAGCACCTAATATAAGCAAAAGCAAAAAAGGGAAGGGTTATCAAAAAAGGACCCACGTCATACCACGTAGCCCAACACTCAAAGTACCCCTCCTATCCCAAACCCACAAAAATCGACACTAACCAACCGCCCTACCCACATCCCCAATCCCAGAAAAACCTACAACCCCTACCCCATTCACCACCGCATCTCCACCCCAAACCCACATTCCCTCCTTCTAGTCTACACACGCCTCAACCCAGCGCCAAGACCCTCCCATCCGCACCCTCCCTATCTCCCCCACCAGGATCCCTCCTCATCCCTCACCCCACCAAGATAACCCAACATGCACATCACATGCACGCATCCTCCATCCCCCCCTCTCTCAGCCTCATCACCCCCTTCCCCATCTCTACCTCTCTCTCTCATTTACCCCCCTCCCCTTCCCCAGAAACACATGTAGCTACACACCCTCGTATCTCGATCCACGACGTCACGTCACCTTACCAACCCAGCCCGCAACCCCCCCTCCCCGCCCTACGCCACGCACAAGAAAAAAAAGTCGCCAACGCTAGCTAATGCGGGGATCACGCCTAAAACCTGTGTGTGCGCACCCCCTCTCAATGCCCCATACTAACCCACCAATACTGCGTATACAAAGAGACAAAGCTAGTGCTGTAGTACATACATCCAAGTTCTTCCCGTCACCTCTTGTTAGCGCGGCGGAAAAGGGACGCTAAGCCTAGAGGAGATGTTGTAAGCGCCTGAGGGGGGGGGCGTGAGGCATTTTAACATGGGCTGCCGGGGGGGGATGCGCCGCGGTAATTGTGGAATTCCGCACATGGGTGTCCGTATGGCGTATACGTAGGGTTGCGTTGTGTTGTGTTGGGGAGCAGGGGTACAGGGGTGCTAGGGTGGTATTTTTTGTGGAGAAGGAGGGAGTGGAGAGAAGACAGGTGTGAGCGAGGTGAGGATTAGACAGGGGAGGGGAAAGTAGGGCGAGATGGGGATTAGCATGGTGGAAATAAAGGCCTGAGGTGGTTGGGGAAGAGGAGACAGGGGAAGGGGTGAGATTGGTGAAATAGATGAAGAGAGAGAGTGTGTGTGATTTCACAGTACAGACAAAGAGTTGGATGTTTTGGTATAAGTGAATTAATTCATTAAAACTTCATAACTCGTGATGTTTGTAGGTATATATGTAGATGAAAACGGGAAAAAAACAAACAACGATGCAACTTTATGTTGCCCATTTGGCCCATAAGACATAGTACGCGTTTGTACAAGCTTTCATGTGAAATGATCAAAAAACATCTAAATGTCTATTTCCCAATCCACATCTGCATTTCTGCAGGTTTGAATGCTTTAAACGACAGTCTTCTCGGGGTACTCAGCGTGAGTAGCGCTCCTCTTGCGGGAGGCATCAGCCTCGATGTCAGTAAGGCTGGCGCGGCGGTTGTCGGCCTGCATGTCCTGGACGTCCTGGAAAGAGACGGTGGGGACGAAGCCAGGGGACTTCCAGGCCTTGGAGCACTTGCCGTAGAGCTCGTCGACTTGCTCAAGGGAGAGACCCTTGGTCTCGTAGATCATGCCCCAGACGAAGAAGATGCAGATGAAGCAGCATCCGCCCCAGACGAAGAAGACCTTTGCGCCCATGTTGGCGTTGCCAGGGCCGTCATTGACCATGTAAGGGGTGGCGTATCCAATGGCGAAGTTGAGGAGCCAGTTGCTGGCGGTGGTCATGGAGAGAGACTTGGCACGGACCTTGAGAGGGAAGATCTCACCGGTAACGACCCAGGCAACTGGACCCCAGGAGCAGGCGAAGAAGAAGATGTAGATGCAGACAAATGCAATCAAAGCCTTCTGGGCAGCCATGTTCTCAACACCAGCGACAGTACCGGTAATAGCGACGATGAACTGGCAGACAGCCATACCGACGGCACCGAAGAGGAGGAGGTTGCGGCGACCCCACTTCTCGACAAGGTAGAGACCGGGAAGGGTAGAGGCGACGTTGACGCAAGAGGTAATCATAGTGACGACGAAGGGGTTCCTGATACCAGAGTTCTGGAAGAAGGAAGTTCCGTAGTAGAAGATGAAGTTGACACCAGTGAGTTGCTGAAGAGACTGGAGCAAGCAACCAGTGGCAAGACGCTTTCCAAGGTTGCCACGGAAGCAGTCGGCGTAGGTGGCCTTTCCAAGAGACAGCTCGTACTCGTGGTTAGCAGTGATCTCGGCCAACTCCTCAACGAGGGCAGGGTCGTCAACGTTGAGACGGCGAAGGGTGGAAAGAGACTTGGCAGCATTTTCTGGGCGACCCTTCTTGATGAACCAACGAGGAGTCTCGGGAAGCCAGATGCAACCAACGAAGAGGATAATGGCCCAGGCGAACTGGACAGCGATAGGAATGCGGTAGGAGCCAGTGTCGTCCCTGTTCTTGGTGGCATTGTCGACAATGGCAGCAAGCAAAAGACCAATGGTAATGGCAAATTGGTAGCAACCGACAATGGTACCACGGATCCACTTGGGGGCAGTCTCGGATTGGTAGAGAGGAATGGTAGCAGAGATCATACCAACTCCGTAACCAGCGAAGAAACGACCAGCAACAAACAGGGGGATATCAGTAGCAATGGTCTGGAGGATAACACCAAGACAGAAGACAACGTTGCTGGCCACGAGACCAAGGCGGCGACCAAGGAAATCGGCAGTAGGAGCGGCAGTCAGAGCACCGAAGAAGGTACCGGCAGAGAGGATAGAGACAATGAGCGAGGTCTGGTTGGCGGTGACATCAGGATGGTTGTCCTTGGGGTTGACGTATCCAGTGCTGAAGACCTCACGCCAGTGCTTCATTCCCAGGATACCACCAATGGTACCAGTATCATATCTGTAACTCTGTTAGTGACTGATGTTACTTGATAGAGAAGTTGAAAATGCATACCCGAAGAGGATACCACCGAAGGCGACAAACAAGCCGACAATGATGGCGGGCGCAGTGGAACCGGCCACGCCCTCGGGCTTCTTCAGAGTCAGACCCATGACTGGAGGTTGAATGTGAGAAAGGGCAGAGTGGTGTTGAGAAAAGACTCGAGCCCAGAGTAAAAGGTGTGTACTCGGATGAGATGATCTTTGCTTGGGGGCGGATCAACCCAACTTAAGTACAGATGGAAGAGCTCATTCCCATGGGCATAGGATCTCCATGGGCAGCTCTCCAGTCCCGGAGACTAGAAGCATGGGGACAAAGCGCTAGACGTTTGAGGGGCTAGCGTGGTATTGGGAATAGGTCCGATGAAGCTGGGGACTGCTAGCGTATTGCTTAGTACGTGAGCTAGACCAGACCAGACGAATCCCGCTCGTACGTTGCGGGCCTGCGATTGAGGTCGCCTCTGCGTGGTGGTGGAACTAGAGTTGCCTCGGCGTGGCAGCAGAATAGTCGAGGTCCTGCTATACGCATCTATGTTTAGCGGTCTCCACGCTGGCGAGTTTGCTGGGACACGATAGCATGCGCGGTGTAGCCCAAGCATGACGGTACACAGAGCCACAAACATAGGCAAACGTGACAGCCGCGGCCTGGCTGTTGACGCGGGCAATGTCAGTGGCATGGCAGTTGGGAGTTAAGCGAAAAGGTGGCGCCGATGGCGGACAATGGTAGGGCACCACAGCAGTAGCGCAAAACCTTAGGTAGATGTGTATGATCCGACAGGTTGTGCGCATAGATGGCCTTAGCCGTTGACCTCATTCACACGCAGGCATGCATACGAGCAAGCAACGCGTACGTTTCTGTTTGATCAATCGTGTTGCTGGTGGTAGCGAAGGAGGTGCCGCAAGCAGTCATGATGTGCATTACTCGCCAATCACGGGCAAGTGTGTCATGAAACTACACAAGTAGGCATGGTAATCGCCCAGTTGCTGCCCCAGCTAGGCAATGTTGCCGTGGAATGGCTGGCGCGTTCGGGGTCGGGGGTCAAGATGCATGCATGCATGCATGGAACCTTGTGGCAAGAGTCTTCTGGAATACGACTGGGTTTTGGTAACTGGTATTGAGGGGAGCGCAGTTGCCAGCTGGGAGTCTGTGGCATGACGAAGCGGATGCTGGAGGGGGGCGGGGAGAGAGGGCGTGACAATTTTTTTGCTTCTGGCCATCCCAAGGGCGCGTGAGAACGATGGGGCGGGTGGGGTACATTAGTTCTCTCCAGACCCCGTGAGGCTCAACAAGCTCTGCATGGCGCGCTTGGGGATGCGAGAGCCAAGTGTCAGCCAACCACGACGGTCGGCGGCCGTGGCGTGCGACCGGACAAGTAGCGCTTGGCCAGACTATCGGGAAGATTTTGTCACACTAACAGGTCTCGAGGCAAAATTTTCTATCCTGTCATGGACCGGCCACGCCGCTGCGGCTCAAATCTAGTATCCACTCGACACCGTGCGCCTGGAACAGCAGACGCAGACGGCTGGTCAGGTGCGGCTTGGGGGCCTGATGCTTGTCCGACTGTGCAAGCTAATCTCCGTCTGGAGAAGACCAAAGCGACCGTAGTGCGACGTGGAGAGTGCGGAACCCGAGTGCGGAGGGGGGCAGGCATCGAGTGACAGATTTCGCGGGGATCGTGAGATTGGCCTCTGGAGGAGCGAGGGTTTTCGTCATGAGGGCGGACCTGTTGGAGGCAGTATGCGAACGTCCATTTCATGCGTCCGAGGTATGTGGAACTTGGCTGTTTTTCAAGCCTGACCACTAAGCATATTACCCGTGGCTTGGCCTCATCTTGTCGGAGTCGGCTTCTGCTGTCCTTGAGGCCAGCACCGGAGCCGGAGCAGCTGACTCGCCTCGTCTCTCCATCAGTCTTGTTGTTCCCCATCACGGCATGTGTCCCGGCACCCAACTGCCGGTACCTGTCCAGTGGCAGGTGTCGCTGTCGGTGTCCTCGCCCTCTTGAGCAGCCTCAAAACATGCTGGTGACTGTGACTGCGCAGAATCGGATACCGGGAGGCGGTTCAGACGGAACCTAATCTGATCGACACACGCCACAATCCTTGGAGGCTTTGTGCGGCTCTTTGGTCATGCCAGAATCACATGTCATTGTGGTGGCAGTGGTCACGCGCAGCATGGCAAACCCAAGGTACCAAAGTGTCCCTTGAACGCGTGACTGCTGATGCGATGCTGATGCTGTAAGTATCTAGCACCGCTTGCTACTGCGGTCCCCACATGAAGCTGAAACGCAAGCCGAGGTACCAATGCCAGTTGCAGCAGGATCGGCATCCCAGAGCTGGGAATCAGAGTACGCTATCGACTGGCGTTCCGAGGGGCCAACAGAACCGTTTGAAAGCAACGGCACGGCCACTAGACAATGCTGCAACCTGGTTGCTCGGCCTCTCTCCCCTTCGGGCGCACCGAGCCAGGCCTACGTCATCGCAATTTGAACTCGTCAAATTACTTTGCTGCAGCAAGAAACAACGAGAAAAGAGACAATTGCACAATGGGTGAAATTCAAGAAGAAGATGGCGGTGGTGGATGAACAAGACGCCAACAGACGGTGACGCGCCACGTCTGCCCTCTCCCAACCCCACCAAAAAAACGCGTCCAAGCCCACCCCCCCTTCTCACCGCCCCTCCAAACAACAACAACAACAACACCAACGAAACGACAACACGACAACGCAAACCCTTCCACGAACCACCTCAATGTCCGACACCCCCTTACCCCCCCACTCTCCCCCCAGCCTCCCCTCCTCTCCCCTCCCCAAACGAACAAAAGTAATTTCCCCATCACCCCTAACCCAACCCTCCATCCTACCCCGCGGCACAGACTCGGGTCTCGCAACCCCAACGCCCCTCGCAAACATGTCGTCAGTGCTGCAACCCCCCGCGCCCATTGCGCCCTCAATTGCCGCTGGTGCAGCCGCAGAACAGCAATTGCAAGTGCAGCTGCTGAGCGCGAATGCAAAAGCCCCGACAAAGGGGAGTGCGTTTGCCGCGGGCCACGATCTGTATAGTGCCGTGGATGTGGTAATTCCGGCCAGAGGGCGCAAGTTGGTGGGCACCGATATTAAGATTTCGGTGCCCGTGGGGACGTGTATGTTTAATTTTTCTTCTTCTTCTTCTTCTTCTTCTTCTTCTTCTTCTTCTTCTTCTTCTCTATTTTCCCTCCTCTTCTTTCTTGCAATCTTATGATGATGATGATGGTGTGAAAGTGCTTTGCTGATCGTCATAATCAACAGATGGCAGAGTAGCGCCGCGCTCGGGACTCGCGTACAAACACGGCATTGACACAATGGCGGGAGTTATCGATGCGGATTATCGGGGCCCCGTGGGCGTGATATTGGCGAATCTTTCGGATGAGGATTTTGAAGTCAAGATTGGGGACCGCATTGCGCAGCTGGTGGTTGAGAAGATTGCCATGCCAAATGTGGTTGTTGTCGAGGAGTTGGAACAGAGTGTTAGAGGGGCTGGCGGGTTTGGAAGTACCGGTGGATTTGGTACTGCTACTGCTGCTGCTGCTGAGCCAGCAGTGGCGGCGGAGACTGAGGAGAAGAAGGAGTAGGGGATGTCTTGCTGGTCAATTGCAGACAACCAAGAAGAAACTCGATGTTGGAGGCCTGGCCATGATGTGCTCAATTGGAGAGTACAGTTGCACGTGCTAGAAAAGTACCGGATACACTGCTCGTGTCAATCAGCAAGGCAAAGTGTTGGAAACGTTCATGTCTCCACTGGATCAATCATACCACATTAGAAGAGAACAACAACAATATTTTCAAGAAACGCAGAGAATCAAAATCAACCGACATGCTCCAAACACATGTCCACACATCATTGGGAAACCCCCCCCCCCACCACCACCACCACCACTTATGTTCACCCCCTTTCCTTATCCTCACCTATTCATATCTACATATAAAACGCAACTCCCAAATTCCAAAGACCTTTTTTTTTAAGTATTCCACTTAAATTTCCCTTCAACATTCCAACTAACAAACAAAACCAAAAGGGGGAAGCATATTCAAATATCACCACTAAAAACGCAAAGAAAATCTTTTTTCTTCTTCTTCTTCTAAATTTCCCCTTAATTCATTTTCTACCAATTTCTCGCCAAGATACCGCATGTTATCCTACTTGCAGAGAGAAGAACCACGAATACAAGGCGAAATACAATCCAAATTTTTATTTTTAGAAAAAATAAATAAATGAATTTAAACATTCTACACTACGGCCACGGCCCTAAACCTCTCCAAATCCGGGGGATCTACTAATTCCTTCACATACCTCACAACCGTAACCTCACTCGCATTCATAAGCGCAAGATGCCTCTTCTTCTCCGCCACGGACTCCTCCTCTGCACTCCTTGCCTCGGCCGCACTGTCGGCAACACGCTCGTCGTACGCCTGCATGCGAGTCAAACACGCCGCTGTTGTTTTGGTCAGGATGGATTGCATGGATGCAAGGACCTTTTGGCAGGCGCGGGCGAGCGGGAGGTCCGTGGCGGAGACGGAGTCCGGGGAGCGCCAGCTGGGGGTGGAGTGTAAAGGGGAGTCGTGGGTTGAGGCGGCGTGTACGGCTTCGATGAGGCGCGGGATGGTGAGGGCGGCGAACATGTCGCCGGTGCCGGAGAAGAAGAGGGGGAGTTGGGGGGTGTCGATGCGGAAGAGGCGGGGTTTGTGGTCCGAGGTTGCGGTTGAGCCGATGATGGTTAGGTTTTCAATATCCGAGTCGTCGGTGAGGAGGGTGCTTTGCTGGGGCGCAGAGAGGTGCTCCCAGGTAGAGGGATGGGAGGTTGCTGTATCGTGGGGCTGGGCGGTTAAAGGGGTGTGTGTTCCTGTGCCGGCTTTTGATACTGGTCTTGAGGATACGGTTTGGTTATCGCGAGTTAAGCGGAGCGATGTTATAATGACGTGTGGAACTTGGTATTTCGTGTGGAGTACCTGGATTGCGGCTGCGAGAGACTTGAGGTCGGTGATTGGAGTCTCAGAGAGTAGTCTGTAGGTGTTGTTAGCTACAGTTTTTATTGCAACCTTCCACGCGCACGCACTCAGCCTCGAACTGGTTGGGTAGAATGAGATCTGCCTCACGCAGTAACGCCTTATACTCTGGTACCTCGTCCTCGGGTATGTATAGTTTGCCGTTGTCTCCCATGACCGGGTCGAGCACTGTCCTCGTCAGTTCCTCGCTCCATGACATATTGTTTGACATCTACTCACCCCAGAAGAAGCTGCCAGGCTTTGTACCCGCATTGAACTTGATATCTCTTCCGATTGTTCCTATCGCTTGTACGGCCTCGGCACTAGGCATATATCCCGTTAAGAGCACGTCGAAGTTGTTAAGGTTCGATTGGCGGAGGCCTTCGTAGAGCTCGAGAATCTCGCCGGCCGACGTTTTCGTGCCTTTGATCTGCTTGTACGCCGTGTGATTACCTGTACGTTAGTCAGTTTGTACCCAAAATACCAACGACTGACACATACTGTAGTGTACGGTATTGATCGCAGAAACGTCACACCCTAGCGACTGCATGACAAAGGTCGCCATCTTGTTGCCCACGTAGCTTAGCTTGCAGTCAGTCGAATGCGCAATCCGTCGCGACATGCAACTCACCCGTGGACTACCTGTCGCATGTTAGCTACAAGCACCATAGCTTTGCGCGCATTCCTCTTACATGGCTGGCGATTGCGAGGACTCGCGTATCCGGAATCAGAGTGTCAGAAGCCATTTTTTACAAGTAACAGTTGCAAGTAGTCAGGGCAAGAGGACGTATGCGCAGGTGGGGTATTTGTTCATGTACTATCGATTTCCGTATCTGAAATTCCGCGGGTATGACGCGACTCGCATGGTGGGGCGGTAACCTTCCTTTAGTTTCCAAAGCACAGAACACCGCTTCTAGATGCCCATTCACGCCGGTGTCGCATGCCATAATCATGAAGCTATTAGACGCTCGACGCACATCAAAGCCATTGCGCCACTTATTCCCTACATCTATTCTGAAAACATGCCGCTCGTATGTCAATAAAATCGTGGTTCGTTTAGTCCTCGTCACCGATCTGTGCGTATGAGTTAGTATCAAGGCTGTGCAGCATGGAAGGAATTTCTTTTACCTTGGGTGCAAGGTAAAACCTGAGGTAGCTTTGCTCTTGTAGGCCATACTCGACAAGTAGAGGGACTTCGCTGGACAGGCAGAGCTTGACCTGATCCGACAGGCCACTAGCCTTGCAGAAGTTGGTCAAGTACTTGAGCGAGAAAGTAAGAGCGACAGGCTCGGTCATGTCAATTGTGACAGACTCGCCCGGCTTGTCTAAGGCGGGATTTTGCTTAAGGATAACAGAGCCCGAGCCAATGTCACCAGAGCAGGCAAACTTGACACCGTCTTTCGAGCACTCAATTGAGACTAAATCCAGGTTAGCTCTGCCAACAGTATTTACACATGTCATCACGAGTCACGTAGGACGTACCTGACTCTGACAATGCACCCAAATCTCTGCAAATGCGCTGGAACTCGGCCGAGGGCATCGATATGGTCGCAGCATAGTCTGTGTCGGGGATACCAAGATGCTCCTGGTCAATGTCCATGAGCTTGATATCGTACTCGCTAATTCGCGAGCTGGTCTTTGTCTCAAAGACGAGGTTGACAACGTCGGGAGCATCCTCAGCCTTGATGGTGAGGATGTCTTCGTTTCCAGCAGCGCGGAGCACCTTTGTGAGCGAGCCCAGGTTGATGCCAAGGGCAATGTTACGGTCGCAGCGGAAGGGCGAAAAGGCGTCCGACTTGAGCATCATGGACACGAGGGCAACGTGCGAGTTGTCCATGGCTTGAAGGGCAATGCCCATGTCATTGCAGTCGAAGTTGCAGTCTTGGACAAGGTCCTTGATAGCATCGACAACCTAGTACGCGGTTAGAAGGGCCTATGAGTTTTTTTGACTGGGGAGGTATGCCTTCTTCAAGGTGTTTGCCTGTTCTAAGCGTGCCTCAAGCACTGCAAATTGTTAGCTTCGTCCAGTTGTCATGGGGAAAAAGACTTACTCTTGGATTTGGGATATGATTAGGTGAGAAGATAGTGCTGAAAGGTATCGTAAACGTCGTGCAAGAAGACAAGTGCGCTCTGTTGTAGAAAGGCAACAATGGATGGAGGGGATCTCAACGCGGGAGCGCGTCAAACACACGCTAAAATATGCACAGATCACCGCATCTTAAAGAGGTGCCAAGAGTACTACGCACGCGATGGACAAACGTGGCAGCTGTCAGGACGATGTTTGAATCAAGGCGCCATGGATGCTCGTCGTCGTCATTGTGGGAGAGGCTGTTGAAAATACGGTCTTGAGTTGGTCATCTCAGAGCGAAAATTTGTTGCAAACTACACTCTATAAGTTCACAAGCACGAACTGGTCACGCTTGAGATGAAGAATCCGAATGCTTGATTGGACGGGGGTATCATGCTAAAGAAGGGCAAAATGCGGCAGCTGATATCATGAAAGCATATCCTACTACAGGAATGCGTCTCCCAAAAAGATCCGTGAGGCCTTTTGTCCTCGAAGACAGCTTTGTTCTCTCCCACCCAGACGAGTTTCCAACTTGGACATAGTTGACCTCCATCTCACTTGAACATCTTCCAGGGCTGAACAGGTGATCTTAAGCGGCCTTCCACCTTTTGTGCATCGTTGCGACGGAGCATTTTTTTTTCTTCTTCACTTTCTTGCGTACATTCCTGCATCCATCCGCAAATTCTACGCCCGCACCAGGCCATAGAACAGTGTCCAAGTCAGCACAAAGCCGCTCAACCCCCCAAACACATCTCCCAACCACAACTCGCCCAGCGGGCTGTAAAAGTATGCGCTAGGCTTGCCCTCTGTTTTCAACGCAAACAGCAGCGCCGAGACGACCAGCGATGCGACTAGGTAGAAGATGAAGCCAGCGTAGGATTCGAGGCCTAGTGTGCCAGCGGCGACGCCGAAGAGCGATGCGGTCAGACTTCGTATGTTGGAGATGACCTGTGGCGAGAGTAAGTCTGTGACTGTATTGTGCAGGGCAGAGGCGCAGCAGGATAGGCTATGTCGTATGCCAGGCAACGGCAACGGCACGGTGACATGGCGATTGATAAGCGTACCTGGGTATTGTGCTGTACGCTGCTTGCAACGATTGGATTGATTGCGAGCTCTCGCTCCTCGTTCAGCGCTGATGCAGCCATGACGGACAGTGCGACTGGGGTGGTGTCGCGGATGGACAAAGGTATGCTAGTAATCTCACGGACGAGATGGTGGTACGTTCGGCCGTATGCGCGTTTCGGCCGAACAAAGGGTTCAAGCTTGGGCTCAAACGCAGCGGGAATCGAGTGTTACAGATTTGTTGGGTGTCTTCAAACGACGGATTCCTGTTCCCGTTCCGATGCTAAGTATGGCCGTTGTGGTGGGATAGAGGGTGGGTTGCCGGAGTCGAGTGCTGGTAACGCCGGTGCTCCACAATTTGCCGTCTTGGTCCGTGCAGGGACCCTTGACCATAGGGATGACTTCACAGCACTCCACTTCAACACTTCAACAATCTCAACACTGTGCGTCTCAATCGTACATGATTAACGATAGACTTTCTATTTTCGGTAGACAGTATCTAGCCATATTGACATGAAACTTTGGTGGTCTCCACACGCATACCGCCTCCACTACGCAGGTCCGACTTCAAGCACCGTCGTAAAGAAAACCGTAATCATCAAGATACCTTGAGCAGTTAGCCTCTGTCAATACCACAGAATACATGTACCCACTGTTGCATATGTAGAGGTAGCAAATAGTTGTTGAGCCCCTTTGCTGCTCGGAGGTAAATCATAGCCTGCCGAAAATAAATATGATGGACCTTCGGCGACGTGACGTTGCCAATGCTCATGAATGCCTCAGCGGCCTTTACATAGTTAGCGTTGGAAAATCTGAGTGAATGGAAGGGTACTTGCTGTCAAAAGCAAATGCCCAGTCAGTTGTCCTTTTTCTCTCGCTGCATCCACGGCAGATTGGAGGTAGTCAGTTGCTGGTACCAGTAACGCCCGTGCCTCAACATAGTCTGCATTGTTTATACGCTCTTGAGTCTCGACTAGAGGTTGCTTTGCAGATTGGAGCGGATAGGGGCTGCTCTCTTCATTGCTGTGAAGCTCACTTTCCGCTCGGGCGATGCTTGCCAGTGCTTTTTGCGCTCGTAACAGCCAATGCCGGCCGATCACCGTGACTGTCAGCCAAGGGACAAGAAACTAAGGGTTTAGCTTACAAGCTAGAATCTCGGCATCTCGAGGGTACAATGCCAGTAGGGTCAGCAATTGCCGTAGACACCAGTCGGCTATGTCCGGGATAGGGCCGTTGTCCGCATCCGCGAATGCTACCCGCTGGACGACAGTGACATGGGGAATTTGCCAACACCTAGGAGATTGTTCGGGAGCTGTATCAGAAATCTCAAACGAGGTGGTGATGTTTCGGATGGCCGGAAGTTGATCTCTCCAGGAACCGGGCGCAGTGTCGAGGTTTGCATTCACTAGCTCAACAGTGGCCATGAGCATGTGGAGCATTTGGCTGTCCATAATGACGACTACGTAGAAGGTGGGTTGGTCACCAAAAAGAAATCCACAGCAATTTTGTACACAGCACAGCAGAGTATATTTGTAAGGAAACAAAGTGCTAAAAAGAAACTTGGGAGTGATATATGCTGCAAGAAGAGGATAAGACGACCCAGAGGAAGCATATTCCACACTTGGGTTGGCCACATGTTGCAGAGATGGTGCTAGCAAAACCGGTGTTCAGCCTGCAGACTTGGACATGTTGCCGGGGCTCATGGCTGTCGCCTTGTGGAAATAGTCGGATGGCGATGTGTCAGCCATATGGACGGTAGGGGATAAGGCGGGTTGTCCGGAATCTCCAGGAACGAGATGGGGAACTATGATGCAACATGTGTCTTGCCACAGGTGCTTGGCCAAGGTGAGATTTGGTAGTTGTAGTTCAGTCATGGCAGTAAGAGGTGGCAAGCATGGTTTGTAAGCGGGGATAGCACATGGCAAGGTGGTGGCTGCGTAGGAGTTAGTCTACGGACATGACAGCACAGCAGCACAGCAGCACAGCTCAGTACCTGCATACAGCATGCAGCCCTATCTTATCGATTGTGTTATCGATTGAGCATAGGCGAGCCTGCATGCATGCGCGCGTCATTTCGCACGCAACCACGGCAGCACGCAGCGAGTACTTGGATAGGCCAGGCGGCCACGAGGAAAAGAAAGCGTTCGCCAGCTCCTCTCCGGGAGATGCGAATGGCGTACGTGCGGGGCCGGGCCTTGGTGCTCATCGGGGGGTGGATCTCAGGCCATCCGAAAGGGACGCGTGGTCGCAGCGTCGGTAGGGCCGGCAAGCGGCATTAAGAGCGAAATGAGGCGTAGGAAGGTGAATTATTGTTTTGCATCCAAAACGAGAAGCCTGTGGCCTCAACGCTTACTCGAGTCGGAGGCCCAGGGGAGGGCCTAGGGGGGCCGGGCAGTCTGCGCCTCAGGGTAACGCGCGCCTAGAAAGCCGCATCAAGGGATTGTAAGTAGTGTAGGGTACACAGCAGACCGGGGTGTCACATGAAAAGCACGGCGGAGACGGCTAGACGAAACGAAACCGCCCCGTGAACGGTCGAGCGGGCTGTCAGCCCGTTAGTCGCCAATCACAGGGGGCCCGTCTCCGCAGGCTGCTTCATTTCCCTCGACCGAATGGTAGAGCCAGTGTAAGAAGTAAGTGTGGCTGTGTGTGTGTGTGTGTGGAGGGATGGGTGCATGTGTGTGTGCGCGCGGACTACTCCAGCGACCTCTCCTTTCTATCTGCGTGTTCCCTTTTCTTGTCCGCACCAGTCCCCCCAATGTCCCCCCTGCCATCAGACGGACAAAGTGACAGCTGCCACGATTGGATCCCACGCACCAGACCACGCGCCCTTGCCAGCGCCCTCGCCTGCGCCCGCGCCCGCACCCGCACCAGCCGTCCCAGCTATATCCATATCACCTGCCCACCCCGGGTTAGAGCCACCGCAACACCACCACCACCACCAGCTCACGCGCCGCCCCAAAGACCACCCGACGTCCACTCCCCCATCATGCGGTAGCGCTGCCACCATGGAGAACATTATACAGGACGACTCTCCCCTTGCCCACTTGCTCCAAGGTGCGCCTCCCCTCCCTCGCTCCCTCGCTCCCTCCCCCCCCCACAGCAACCGCCACAATGATGATGATGGTTATGACAACGATGCATCCCCAGCCACTAACTGCCGCACTAGGCCAGGGCAAAGGCGGCGAAGATGACGACAATACTCTATGCCCTCCTATCCTTCGACATGCCGATACCGACATCGACTTCCAGGGCTTTGCGCCCAAAGGACCCTCTACCCTGCAATCGAGAATAAGAGACCGCCTCCCACAGCCGCTGCGCATACATGCGCGCAATGACTCCATTTCCCGTATTCACTTGGCCTGCTCGGTATGTCCATCCTGGCTTGGCGCTCGGTGAGTCAAGACGTACTGACCCAACTGCAGAAGGCTGTCAATTCGCGATTGGGGCGTGTAGACAATGAGCGCTTCCTCGAACACTTTCGCTATCTCATCGTCGCCTCTCAGCTTCTTGGCGAGAAGGACGGCCTGCGCGCGTCATCGATACCCGCCTTTGCGGCAGGCGGACCCTCCGGCTCCCACGAGTTCAAAATCGCCACGATAAGCACTACCGGCGCTGCTCTGACAGGCACAACGGCATTTGCCTTGGTATGGCTAGTCCACTGGTCTCGCCGTCAGCCAACCTTCAGCTTGAGCAGGACGGCATTTGTGGTTCTGGTCTTCGCAGCTGCTGCAACCGCCGTCTATGCCTACATGCGACGTCAATGGCTCCGGTACCTGAGGCAGGAGGCTGTCGACGGCGCATCCGCCCTGGTCGCCAACCTGCAAGCCTTTGAAGCCTCTACATCGTCTGCGCTTGCTTTGATCCAAGAGGTCGAGCTCGTATCTCGTGGCTACAGATTGTAGGTTCTTCATATTTTCAGCCAATTCTCCCTATCCCGCTCACTGATCCCCTCTAGAAGCAGTCCGCTACCCCCCATTTCGCGCATCGAGGAAAAGGGTCAGGCCCGCCGTTGCCAACGTCTTCGTCGCAATCTCCGAGCAGCATACGCCGACATCGTCCCCTTCCTCTCCGAGCAGTATGGACTCTTGAAGCCGCTGATTCAGGAAGATGACTTGGAAAAGTACTTTGACGTTTACGAGATCAGCAATCCGGACCTGCAAGAGGCGGCTCTCAGTTACAGTCCATCCGAGTTCGAAGACGCCGAAAGCCTGAAAGCACTGCGCACTCTCCAATATCGCTTGTCAATTCTTCGCCGGGTGTACCTGTGCTCTCTCCTTGCCATGGAGGCTGATGGCGGGACCATGGATTTCGCACGATGGTCAACCGTAGTCGACACTATCCTAAACACAGCCCGTCCTATTGGTCAATGGAGCGAAAAGTTCAACCGCGTGCTATCGGAAGAAGAGCAGTTTGTTTTGCCATCGCCGGCCAAGGTAGCCCCCACGCCCGGACGGGAAAAGATTCGAAACTCGGTGCGTAAATTGTCGGGACTTTCGAGCGGAATCCGGGGGTTGCAGGCAAAAATGCAGGTATTGCGGGAAGAGACGAATAAGAGCTTGGAAGATATGGAAGACATCAGTGATCTAGGTCATTCTCTTATGGCGCAATACGAATCCATTGGAGCTGATCTTAAGAGTTTGGTTCAGGCTTGGGAAGCAGGAAAGAATGCGCTTGCGTTGAACATTGACCGACAGGAGCGTCGAATCTCGCAAGCGTCAAGCAGCGGTCTGCGCTCTCCGGTCCCAAGCCTAGGTGGATTGACTGCTGTTGATGAAGGAAGCCCGTCTGATGCTCTGCGTGCTCTTAATGGCGAAACTTTGAGTCCTCAGGAGAGCGCCCCGTCCAGCGACCAAGGCAGTAACTCTGACGACGAAGTATTCGAAGCCATTGCAATTCCCAAGACACGTGTTACCATGTCGAGAGAGGAACGGATGCAAAAGATCCATGATGACCGCATTCGCCAAGCTACACTTCGTGAGCAACGAGATGCAAACACCAGCATGTTGAGAGAACTGGAGTCTGTGATCAACCTGCGACCGCATCGTGCATCTGCACCTCCTGGAGGTCGAATCACTAGTATCTGAGGCCATTCCCCACCCCCTTTTCCTTTGTGTATATTTCCATAACTCATGACAGCTCGCTCGATACCGCATCAGTTATTTTCCCCTTGTTTCCTTGTTTCCATATCATTTGCTTCCACCCACAGGCATGCATCTGGACCCTTTTGGGCCTTCGAATCTCTCAGGCATTTATCGCGATACCATGTGCCACGGCAGCAGTCGCAGCCGCAAGTCGCTTTGTGTTTTTTTTTCCTCTCATATCAGTAGGCGTTTAAAGGAGGGGGCCATCATCATGTATGTGCCAATGCATCAATCAGATCTTGAGGATGAAGAGAAAAAAAAGAAGAAGATACTACTAGAATAGTAAGACTTGATCGTAAAGAGAATCAACGTTTGTGATGTTTTTTTTTCTCAAGTGCGAACCACTCGGTATTACTTGAATAAACTTTCATGATTAGTTTCCTCCCTCTGACATGGCAAAGTCCAAAAATGTCCACATGCCGATGACACACACCCCTCCCAGTCGGAAAACTACTCAAAGCGTACGAAATCACCATCGACACCCCTTGCTCTCCTCACCCCCCTCCCCTTTCTTTCTGTCTTTCCCACTTCCTCCGCCCCCAAATAAAATATCTTTTTTTCCCCCACTCAACCCAAACAAACAAAAACCCTCCCCCCCCCCTCCCACCTTCTTTCCCACCACCATCATCATCATCATCATGATGCCTTCTTCTTACCCCCATGCACCCGCCTAACATGCACCCTCAACCCATCCGACCGCGCATAAACCCTCTCACACCCCTCACTCACACACTTGTACCGCCCTCTGGCCCTCGCCGGTCCCGTACACGCCTGCGTTTTCAAGTGCCGCGTTAGATTACCCAGGGCGTAGGCGCCGGTGAGGATGGTGCCGCAGTGGTACGGGCAGGGGATTTGGGGCGAGGTAAGGGGTTGTTGTCGGGGTTGTTGTTGTTGTTGGGACGGGGGGCTTCACGGAAGGAGAGGGGGGGTTTTGTGTTAGTAGAAGTGGTATTTTGAGGGGGTTGAGGTTGCTTACTGGGTCGGTGGGGGAGGGGAGGTTGAGGAGGAGGAGGAGGAGGAGGTTGCTGGTGTGGCTGTGGGGGAGGGGGGCGCGTGGTGCGTGGCGGATAGGTAAGGAGAAGAGTGTCGGAGAGATGGTTAGGATGGAGTTAGCATGGTGGTTGGGGGGAGTTGTTACGTACTGGTAGTAGGAGAAATGTGTTTGGGAAGGTGGAGAGGGTGATGGAGAGGTAGGTTGGGATCTGAGAGGTGGATAGGTGGTGGAGGGGAAGGCAGTGCTGTGAGGTATCTCTTGCTCTGGTATGGGTTGTTGGAAGATGGTGTCGGGAGGGTAGACTTCGTAGCTGGGAGTTGCGTAGGTGCATGTCTGTAAGTCCCAAGATTGGGCTTCTCCTTGGAATTCGGAGATGGTGGCCGTTTGTAATGGGCTTTCTACCAAATTTGATACGGCTGAGGGTTGGTAGAATGGGTCGTTTTGGCTTCTTGTGTTGTCTGATGGCCAAGAAGGCAAATGGCCATGGGTGGATTGGTTGTACGCCATGCCAGATTTTCTGGTGTCTTATGTGGTTAAGTGACAATATACGATGTCATTCTTTTCCCCCCATTATGAAGTCAAAGCTGGAAGTAGAGAGACCAGTGATTACCCAGTCAGTCATCCCAATCGGAGCAGCAAATCATAAGGGAAAGCGCCAGTAGCCGGAAATACAAAACTTAGGCCTGCAAGGGCTCAAGGGTAGTAATACGCCACCACGTATGGTCCAATTGCAATAATCTCTATCCAGTCTCGAATCATGAGCAAGACGCCCTAGCCGACAAAGAAATACACCTCTGCATGTGTCCGATTAACTAACCACAATACATACCTACCGATCAGCTTGACTGCCGGCAGATGGTTTCACGCCTTTTACATTCACATAAACAATGGTACTTACATAGTAATTCTCCACGGAGTTATGTAAACGAAAACTTTATCTCGGGTGGCTGCCTATTTCCCTTCAGCTCGAAGCGCACGGGACAGCGCGGCAGTTCCCTTCGACCGGGATGGCCCTCCTCGCCGAATTCATCAGGAGTGCCCAATCAATGAAACAATCGGTAAACCCTGGATGTCGCACGGTGTATGAGACTGAGTTGTTAGTCTTGCAGTACTGGGTTTTTCGTAATCACTAGTAGACTGTGACACGAGATACGGATGCGTGGGTAACAGAAATGGGAAACTCTCGCGACTTGGAATCTTCGGGGAAGAGACTACGAGACCTGTTGGCACAAAGGGTAGATTGGCCTTTGTGCAGTGCATATCCGTTTTCTGGGGTCGTTGTATTGTATGGTATCTCTTTGCATGCTTACCAATGCCCCGGCACTTTGAGCTTTTCCCCATTGCAATGATGAAACTATTCGATATATATCGATGTTTTCTTTCTTCTTGTCCAAACTAAATTGGTATCCCCTTCACCATCTTCCGCATCCATTGCACATCAGTGTTGTCAGGGTAACCTCTCCCTCCGCAACAGAACCCGTGTCGATCATCCCTTGCACTGCCCATCGAAACTGGAGACGGAGCTGATATTTAATCGGCTTCACGGACCGATCTTACCAGACCAAACTCTCTCTCTCTCTCTTTACACTTCGGCGACCATACCTCTGCACGTTCCCTGCACCTCTGTTAAGCTGCAGCAAGCAAAGCATCGAATCGGATACTACGTTAGTACCCCTGCATTCCTTGATCAAGGGCTCTCCTATTCGGATTACACAATGGGGCTAGATTTTGAGACTAGCGTCAGTTTACGAGGCAGGAGTCCGAAGAAGAAAGCTGGACGGGACGGCTCGTTAGCGCATCAGACCGGGTACGAGACGGATTATTTTTTTTTCTCTCGCTCAGAGTCTGGAAGGGATGGTTTCTACCGGTTTTTTCTGACCGGTCTGATTGATTTTGCTCCTGCGCCGCGGTAATCTATGATAATGCTGCTTGCATGTGACGATGGCGATCCGGAGCGAGGATGTGAAGAGACTGCAACGCCGACTGATTTAGTAAGTAAACCGGTTTGTGCCTTATGCTCGCTATGATCCCCCATATCTTGTGTCGTGGGAGGGTGCTTATAGAAAATGCAGCCTCTCGCATACCATGACAGAGGAAATTTTGTGCGGAGAGATTCCATTTTGGATGATTGCAAGCGTGTTGTTAGAGTAAAAATATCGTCGAAGCGACTACATGGTGAGGGAGTTCTTATCATGAGAATGCAAACTGAACTAGGCTATTATGCCATTGCGATTGAAGGCTAGTGACTAGACTAGATAAAAGATCCTGACATGGAAAGGGTCAATGCCTTGATTAGAAATTTGCCGTCCTAGTCGTGTTTTGCTGTGACAAAAGCCTCAGCTCTCGAGTTTCCATATTCCAGAACTCTCTAGAAATGAAAACTTCATACGATACTGATCTATTTTTTGGTACCGGGGACATGTATAGTTCGCAACTTCTCAATGCAAGACGCCAAGATAAGAAGGAAAAGCTATCACTTTTCTCCGCCGAATGTTCCGTCGCACTCGATCGGATTTTCTGCCAAGGCGATCCGACAGGTTTCAATTGAAGAACACCCTTGTTTTAGCCTTAGTGTAAAAATCATGCTCATCGTTGCTATGTCCAAAGATCGAATTTGACATTTTCCCTAGCCCATGATGTACTTTTGATGCCAATTTCAAGAATAAGGAGGAGAGAAACGCATCTGGATAATCCAAAGGTTACAAGTCATCAGCCCACATTGGAAGGAGTACAGAAACAGTATGAAGACATAGCAGAAGCGCTTGGTGTGAATGCGCGATGCAGCAAATGGTGATGTAAGGCGATGTGTTCGCTTAACCCCGATTTTATCTACGACCGGAGAATTTTGCGGCTAACCTATCATTAGGATGCCCCGCGTCCTAGAAGCAGGTCTGACGTCGGCCGAGCACCTTCTCTTATATGGATCCAGATTCATGGCTTATAGTATATCAGTAGTATTAATGCCGTAGATGACGAATCGGCAAGTGGACTTCTCAGCCGATCTCGAATGACGAAACCCCAACGGCAGCTAATCGAGGGCCGCATAGGTATCATTCCTTATTATGGGTTGCCACGTTGCGTCGGCAGATCGAGCCTCGTCTCAGGACAGGGGATGCGATACGTTGACGTCTTCACTGCGAGCCATGTCCGAGATTTTTGCAGTCTTGTCGCCGCAGATGTAAACCTTTTTCGGACCTTCTGGGCCGGGGTTAACGGTGATAGAAGTGCACGCCCCGCTTTGAGGCTCAAAAACGTGGTAAAAGTGGGTCTGGTGCCAACGGCGTAGGTCGGCGAAAGGGCAAAACACCGGGATATCCATACGGACATACCTCATACACCAGACCGTCTTTTCATGTGTATTACAAATGTCCAGGAAAGTTTCTAGAAGTTTGAAGGAAACAAGAGTATAAAACTTGAGCCGTGTAGCTTGTATAGTCACCAATTCAGCCAACAAATCTCATCTCACATAACTACAACTACCATTTCTCAATTCCTTTTTGTGCATTTCATATTCAATACTAAAGCGAACGAGAGATATGTCCTCATCATCCGACTTCCAGGGCTGGGTCGCTCACGACCCCTCTGCCGCCGATGGCAACATGAAGTGGGGTGACTACACCCCCAAGAACTTCGAGTCTACGGACATTGAGATGGAAATCAGTCACTGCGGTGTCTGCGGCTCTGACATCCACACTCTCCGCTCCGGATGGGGCCCCTCAGACTACCCTCTCGTCGTTGGCCACGAAATCATTGGCAAGGTCACTCGTGTCGGAGACGCCGTCAAGGACCTCAAGGTCGGTGACCGCGTCGGTGTTGGTGCGCAGTCTGACTGCTGTGAGAGCTGCAGGCCCTGCAAGGCCAAGCAAGAGTCCAACTGCAACAACTTTGTCATGACCTACAACGCAAAGTACAAGTCCGGTGACAAGGCCCAGGGAGGTTACGCAAAGAAGTGGCGTGGACCGGCTTCTTTCGCTATCCCTATTCCGGAGGGTCTTCCTTCCGAGTACGCTGCTCCTCTCATGTGCGGTGGTGTAACCGTCTACAACCCCCTTGTTACCTATGGTGCCGGTCCAGGAAAGCGTGTCGGTGTTGTCGGTATCGGCGGTCTCGGTCACTTCGCTCTTCTTTTCGCAAAGGCCCTCGGCTGCGACGAGGTCGTTGCCATCTCGCGCTCCTCTTCCAAGAAGGCCGACGCGCTGGAACTCGGTGCTGATAGGTTCATCGCTACTGGCGAGGACCCCGAATGGATGAACAAGAACGCCGGTGGCCTCGACATCATCATCTCCACCATCTCCGGCGGTTTCGCGCTCGACCAGTACCTCAACCTCCTCGACGTCAACGGTACTTTTGTCCAGCTCGGCGCTCCTGACGACCCACTTCCCAGCTTCTCCCCCATGGGCTTGATCTTCAAGAACTTGAAGATTGCTGGTTCTCTCATTGGCACCAGGCAGCACATTGCCGACATGCTGGAGTTGGCAAAGAAGACGAACCTCAAGGCTTGGGTCCAGGTCAGGCCCATGTCTGAGGCCAACGATGTTATTGTCGATTTCGAGAAGGGCCTCCCTAGGTACCGATATGTGCTCAAGAACTAGGTCCTTTGGTATGAGAAGATATACCAACGATGACGATACCCTGTATTTGTAATTTAGATGATATCACATGAATAGATATTTTAATTTCCATTTGACTTCATTTGGACTGGTACGGCGTTTTGTTATAGCTGATTGTACTGACGACGATCCTACGGCAGTTCGTTAAACTTGCTATCGAATTTACATGTTCAGCATGCAACGTTAGCCATTTTTCGAACGATATCTTTAAGGTCGAGATTAGACTTAGGGCTTGGCTAGAAGGCTGTTGTATATTACGGCGATGAAAGAGGCATGGCAGCTCCTGGGATGTGACATTATGAGTAGGCAGTGTATCTCCAAAAGAATGGTATGGTTTAGTTGGCTGCAAGTGAGACCAGCTATATATTTTGAACTAGTTATATCTTTAAGCGCTGCTGGGATGCAGGGTCTAGCCCACTTAACCCTTTATTTAGCCTGTGGCATTAGTGTACACTACTTTGTTATCCGAATCAGGAAACGTGGGGTTAGAAATGCTAGCTCTCGAATTGTCATGGGTATCGTATATCTGCTTGACCAATGCACCCTTTTTGCGGGGTTCCTGCACTGGGACTACCCATGGATATCTAATGAGACTATTGATTCCGGGGATTTGGAATTCTTACTAAGAATAGTTGGTTTCATATCAAAAAGGTATAATAAAACTACGAAATCATACGCTTGAGATGCTTGTGCGATTACTTGGGTTCGCTGGCTTCTGCTGGCCGAATCGACCCATCTCCGTTGACACAAGCGACTGCTCATCGCTATCAGTGTGTCGTACTTCGTAAGTGGTCGTATATGTTATGACATCCTGATCGCCTCCTTTCCTCGAACCAAACGACTTCCCTCCCTTACTTGCTAAAGCAACGTCCTCTTTCTTCATTCCGAAACTTTGAT